CCCACAACACCTCCGCTGCCCTCTCAATTGCAGGGCCCAGGTGGCGGCAAGAGGCACAGACAGTGACAAGGAGGAGGAAGAGGAAGCTAAAGAGGGTGAGGAGGAAAGGGGAGAGGGGTGTCCCTACTTCACGGTTTTTCACTTATCACGGGTGGTCTTGGAACGTAATTCCCACGATAAGTGAGGGAACACTGTATTTATAGTGGAATACGTGGCATAATGTAAAATTATCAAATGTGAACTACATGTGTAGTTCACATTTGATAAGCCTATATATTGCCTTGCCAGAGAAAGAAAATATACCACACAGGTGAACAGTAAAGAACAAGTAAAGAACAAAGAACTACTTCAGCCAGAGAAATCAGCCATAGCAGAGCACCTGATGAATCAACCTGGACACAGCATATTATTTGAGAACACAGAAGTGCTGGACCACTCTCACAACCACCATGTCAGACTGCACAGAGAAGCCATTGAAATCCACAAGCATGTGGACAATTTCAACAGAAAGGAAGAAACCATGAAAATGAACAAAATCTGGCTACCAGTATTAAAAAACTCAAAAATTATAACAGCAAAACAACAGAGAAGAAGCAAACAGGCACATAAAATCACCCTCAACAGGGGGTTCCCCCCAGGCGCTTCCAACCAATTGAATGCAAATCAAGGTGATCGGCTTAAACATCCACAGCTAGCCCCAGCAGAAAAAAGCCCTTTGTCTCACCCTGGTCATTCCACAGATATATAAACCCATTTTTCCTACTTCTAACATACCTCACTACCTCTGAGGATGCTTGCCATAGATGCAGGCGAAACGTCAGGAGAAAAATTGCCTCCAGAACATGGCCATATAGCCCGGAAAAACCTACAACAACCTAGTGATTCCGGCCATGAAAGCCTTCGACAATACAAAGAACAAGTAGTTTATTCTTCATAGTTCAGAACAACATATATAAAGTGTGATTAGTTGCATCAGCTCACAGTGTCCTTTTATGAAAGATTTAAAATGTACCTTCTTTATAATAATAATAATAATAATAATAATAATAATAATAATAATAATTTATTTGTACCCCGCTACCATCTCCCCAAGGGACTTGGTGAGGCTTACATGAGGCCGAGACCACAATACAACAATAAAAACAATAGCAACAGTCATACAAACAATAAATAAAACTCATAAACAGAAAATAGCAAAAAACATTAACAATAACACAACGATGTTTTAAAACCTATGGCAGGGCCAAATGTACTAATTAAAAATTTAAAAAATAATGCTGGGCGTGACCAAGTGACATATAACCAGGATAGAAATTTTGGAGAGGGTTAGAGCGTGCAGACATGAGAGTAAACTCCTTCAGCAGTTCATGAAGCAAGAGCACTTTCAAACTCTCTCTCTCTGCCTCTATCTGATTCTCTCTTCTTCTCTCCCTGAACTTACATAGCTCAAGCCTGAACAAAAATGTAACAGTAGCCAAAAGTCCCAGGCTCAGCCATCTCCCCAGGCATTGCCTGACCAATCAGTGTCATGTATCTTATTTTTCAGTTGACGCACACACATTAACTGATTCCTTGCATGCTCCAACAGAATAAACAGTCAAAGGGCCTGATCTGGATTAGGTCAGTGACATGTGGAACTTGGAGGCAAGTGGTGCTTCCTCCAAGCACCACATTCTGGTCTTTAGAGTAGAAAAAAAAACTCCACCTTCCTCAATGTGATATCATTTCAACTGTTTTTGAAAATGGCTACCATGTCTCCTTTCAACCTTCTTTTCCCCAAGCTAAACAGACCCTGCTCCCTAAGCTGCTTCTCAAAGGACTTGGCTTCCAGACCTTTGACCATTTGGGTCGCCCTTCTCTGGACACCTTCCAGCTTGTACATATCTTTCTTGGGGGAAAAATGGACACAAGATTGGAGTTGAACTATATTTTCTTTCCGTCAAAACACTAAACTCGTATTGATGCAATTTAGGATTGCAATGTAGCGCTAACTTGATGCCTAGTAAAGAGATGGGGGAATTACACTTGTCTTTGGGAATGGCTATCTTCTTGACTCTGGGACTTCTTGGCTGCTTCATCAAGACTTTGGCTCTTTCGACCGGAAAGCATTTATTGTCTCAGCTCTGTGAGGCCGGGTCAGGGTCAGGCTGCAGCTTGTGTGGGGCTGGGCCACAGGAAGGAAATCTGGAGCCTTCAGTCTGCACCGCCCCAGCCAGCATAAAAAGGAGAGAGCAGCCTTATCACCCGACTGGGCTTTTTCCTGTGATGCAAGTTCAGGATGTGATGTGGACGAATGCACATAGGTTTGCCGTGACTGTGAATCTCAACGCAATGAAAGCACTTGCAGAAAATAGAGCAAGTGTGGCATAGTGGTCTGATTGTGGATGGCCATCTGTCAGGTGGGCTTGGATTGTGTCTACCCTGTCCTCCTTCCAGAGGGAGTTGAAGAATTGGATGTTTAGACAAGCCTTTGAAAATACCTAGCCCAGTGTTTCTCAACCTTTCCAGTGCCGCGACCCCTTAATACATGTTCTACATGTTGTGACCCCCAACCATAATTTTTTCATTGCTACATCATAATGTCAATATCTAAAATGCAGGATATATTTTCATTCACGGGAACAAATTTGGCACAAATACCAGATACACCCACATCTGAATACTGGTGGGCTTGGAGGGAGGGTGGTTGATTTTGTCATTTGGGAGTTGTAGTTACTGGGATTTATAGTTCACCTACGAACAAACAGCATTCTGAACTCCACCAATGATGGAATTGAACCTAACTTGGCACACAGAACCCCCATGACTAACAGACAATACTGGAAGGGTTCGGTGAGCATTGACCTTGAGTTTTGGAGTTGTAGTTCACCTACATTCAGAGAGCACTGTGAAGTCAAACAATGATAGACCTGTACCAAACTTGGCACGAATACTCAATATGCCCAAAT